TTTCTCGTATACATTGAGTTAAATTTCTTCTTTCTATTTATACAAACGCAAAGTGCTTTAAATACAGTACATTCGCCATTTTCTTTAACATATTTGAATTTACGTGGCTCTTGAAACCAACATTTTGTTTCTTGGACTTTTTCTGTAATAATAACTTCTTCATATAAAATCCCCTTTAAATAGAACTTTAACATTGAAGGAGAAGTGCTCTGAAATTTATTAACTCTCAAATTGTCAGTGTTAATTAATAAAGGTGTTCCACTGTAATGATTGATTTTGACAACTTCAAGAAAACACTCATCAAACTTCACACATCCTTTGACAATATATATTTTCATTTTAGTCACACTTTTCGGCGCAATCAATTTCTCACAATTCACATTCAGCAAAAAAATCGATTTCAAAAATTCACAACTTTGAAGACCAAAAATTACTTTTTGAAAAGTGTCAGCTAAAAATGCCTCATTCATATCTTTAATAATATACATGTATTCCACGTGTAACACTAAAAGTTCGTCATAAAAGCACTTTCAGTGGTGTTTTTAATTAATTCACACTTACCTCCCAAAGTATTAAACACAGTGAGGTGCTTTAATTTTTCTTTGTATCTCCCGTTGCAGAAAAAGTCAAAATGAGTCATAAATTCTAAATTGAGAGTTTCAAATGACAAAACTGTGATATATACTTTAACATTTTTCAAGCCTTTGAATCCCTCAAAAACACTGAAATCTGGTGAAGAGCTCTTTCTCTTGTATGAAACTGTTAAATTGAATTGGACTCGACTTGCACTTTTGAAGTCGAAGTCTTGAATTTCAACAAGGCGTTGCAATGGAATAAAAAGATTTATTTTCCTCATAAAGGGACGACAACTGTATTAAAATTGTCTTTTGAATTGTGTGACATGAAAATTGACATTTCGACAAGTTTTGTAAATTTTTTATAAGTTGGTGTTTTCCATTCAATGCTTTTACTATAAATTCGTAAATTACGAATTTTTGGAGGAAAAGTCGACTTTTTAAAGGAGTGTGGAAAAAAATTTGCCACAAAAAAATAAAAAAATTAACACAAAAAACAGAATTGTGCCGACCTATGGCAAATGAACTTTAGCCTATTTATATTTATTTTTATCGAGTAAGTATTTATTGTTTTCTTTAAAAACACGGGTTTTTAATTAAAAAATAAATATAATTTAGAAAAATGACTTTTATATATGTATTGTTTATTGGTTTAATTTAACGATAAAAAACAATTGGTTAATTTGGACTAAGGTTCATTTGCTTGTCGTATGTTTGCTAAACTGTGTTCGTAAAAATCAACAATAATTACCAATAACTCTAAAAAGACAATTTTAAAACTTTAGTATAATTGAGGTTTACAACATGTAAATATGATTATAACAATGAACTAAAATAATATTAAAACCCCAAATAAATATTAATATTATTAATTGAAGTTATATAATAACTTAAAATACAAAGAACATGGGTGTAAAGCTCGAGTCAGTTTTTCTGAAGAATGTATTATTTTACTTTTTGACACTTGATGACATTCAGTCTTTTGAATGTGTTTGCAAGAAATGTCAAATAGCAATCAGTACCGTATATATTAACCCATATCGCCTTTCCGAATTATACTCTCTCAATCGAATCCGTAAAGTTTTTCCAAAGATGGAAACGTTCTATATAACACATTGTTGTTACAACTTGGAGAGGAAAGATTTAAGGGGTATTCATAATATAGAAATTGGATTATTGTCACAAGACAAACCACGTAAGTATCTTAAACAGCATTGGTTTGCCAAAAAAGTATCTAAAATGAATATAGATGCTTTTATTGACACATACTTTTATAAAATTGTTTTTATTAGCGAAAACCTTAAAACAATACATCTCTATGGTATGGTTACATCTGAAAATTTTGATAATATTTGTGAACTTCCATGTCTTGAGAAATTGTTTATAAACTGTCAAATATCTTTTTTGGATAAATTAATAGAAAAAGCATTGGTATTAAACAAAGTTAAATTTGTTTTTATTGTTGATTATGATGGTTTCAAAGACATCAAAAAACTGACTGAAAACATCCCACAAAATATATCACTATTTGTTAACGATTCAAACGCAAATTACTTTTTGAACACATTTTTCGTATTAATAGATATGATTATAGACACAAAGATTATTTCGTTATCTTTGGATTCTCAGTTAATTATTCCGGATAAAAAAACCATAGAAAGCATCGACAATACCGCAAAAATATTTATGGAAAAACAAGTGCAAAAAGCAAAATTTATGCTGAAGTCAAAAACGCCCACAAAACTGACATACAATTTTTCGATGTTTGAAACATTGACAACCGTCGCAATTCAATACCCATGTGGCACATATGGCACAATTGTATTGCCGAAATTTTGTGTCAGTTTGGGGTTATCAAAATGTTTGTGTGATGTTAAGCTTGGTGAAGCAAAATTGATGCATTTAAAATTGAAAGAAAGCAAACCAAAAATGACTGTTGATGTTGACCAAATCAGTACTTTTATTTCTGAAGATTCATCGACTGAACATATCACGTTCAGATTTGATGGAAAGGAGACTGAAGGGTTTAAAATTAGTCCAATACTGAAAATTTTTGAGGTCAAACTGTTTCGATATACACAAGGACAATGTTTTTCTTCTGTTCGTATACAAACTGAAAAGAGTTTTGTTACAAAAGTGGGAAATTTGCAAAAAGAAAATGGTGTGATTACTTTTAAAGACACAGAAATTAAGTGATTATTTTATTGATAAACGTTTTTACCACGTTCAAAACAGTAAAGTAAATTGTTTTTTAAAAGTCTGTACTTGGGTGTCCCGAATTTTTGCATTTATTTTGTTTATTATTTTTGGGAATCAGTTGTTGTAATAAATTTTGATTATTTTTTTCAAGTAAAAAAAACAGTCTTTAAAATATATTTTTTTATTAGAAAAAATTTGAAGCATTAACAATAGTGTAGTCGAAACCGATTCCGGAATCGGCTTTTCTTGAAACATTTGGGAAATATTTTTGATTCCCGAATCAGAAGTTTCAGGAATCAATAAAAAAATATTTGGGGAATTTTATTTTTTTTATCAAATTCCCGAACCGATTCCGGAATCAAAAAATATTCGGGAATATTTTTAACCTCGGTTCGGGAACATCCTGATTCCCAAACTTAAAATTGGTGTGTTCCCGAACCAATAAGTTCCCGAACACACTGGTTCCCGAACTTCATAAAAAAAATATTCCCAAACTTTTGATTCCGGAACACGACGGTTCCCGAACCGATTCCGGAATCACCAGTATTATATTAAAAATTTATTAATAAGCAAACTAAAAAAATAACAACTTTGTTTTAATATTAAAATTGATAGATTTGTATAATAATATCTTTGTAAGTGTTTTATCCATTTGTATCACTATTCAACAAGAAATCAATTTTTATATTATATTGGATATAAGTATGTAAGTTTTAATTCTGTGTTAAAATTGTTCATTGCAATAATAATTATTTTTTGATTTAATTTATAATCAGTGTTATTACATGTATTTACATTACAAAATAACATGTTGTATTATTGTTGTTTATTTTAATGAGAATTTAGTATTTACAAAGTAACATTTTAATCAAATGCTGTAATAACATTATAAAAAGTTTTTTAAATAAAGTTTTTGCAATTATTAATAATAATTTTCAATGTAGTTGAAATACATTATTTTATTTTTATTGTAGATAACTTTAAAAATCCAACTTTACTTGATAAAAATCATCATAAAATAATCATCATTTGTATATATTTACAGATGGACAAAAAACATAATCATTTTTCAATTACTTCGACTTGATTTTCTTGATTTCAATTATATTAATATAATTAAATGTACTGTACTGTTAACTATGAATGCTGAATATACCCATTTGATACTTTTTTGTTCGAAGGGGTAATAAGTATTAAACTTCCTTTGTTTTAATATTAATAACTATTAGAACAGTATAAAGTTGTATTAATATAGAAGTGTTTTTTATCCAACCCGTATCAACAAAAGTTTTCAATAACAATGTTGATATTGGTGTTATTAAACATTTAAATTATATCCGTTTTGTGATTATTTTAATTAAAACAAATTGTTATAAAATTTCACAAATTATATTCAATGACCAAAAATTTGTTTATTATAAACTTGTTCTATTTAACAGAAAAACAAATCGAGAGTTATATTTATTGTAATACATTTATTTTTAAATTAATACGTTTAAAATTGCGTTTGTATATTGACATCTTTGTTGTTTAAACAGTTTAAAATAATATAATCAAGAGCCCAAAAAATTCAACTGTAAAAGTCCAACAATTATATAGATATAGAATGAACATTTAATTATATACAATTATTTTCAATATATAAGAGGTTAAACAAAAATATAATATGTAATTTAAATATTTATTTTGTTATTTAAATCTAACTCAACACTTTTTTATAAAATATAAATATTTGGAATTTTTGCACAATAAAGTAGAAGATGCACTTTTTTAATTTGAAAAAATTGTATATTTTGTATATTTAAAACAATACAAATATAAAATGATTGTCAATTGATTATTTAAAGTAATATATTTCAATGACTTCACATAGTCAATAATGTTTATAAATAAATACAAATTAATGAATTTTAATTTATAATAATATTTAAATTACTTATTATAATCCCAAATAAATATCTTATTTAAATATCATGTTAACTTACACGTAAGTAACTGTTTTGTGTTTACAAACAAAAAAGATTATTTCAACTTATTTTAAACAAGTATAAGCTTATTTTTGTCAAATTGTTGATATTAAGCAGTTATCCTCCATTGAATTATTATTACTATGTATTTATTTAAACGGTTGTTGTTTTCACTTTTTTATTTAAAGTGTGAGCTAATTTTTTGGAACATAAGATATCGATTATATTAAAAACAATTCTTTAAAATCACAAGTTGATTAATTTCTTTGTTAAACCCAACATCTATCGTTTACACGAAATCAAAAACATAATATGTTCACATGATAACTGTTACAGGCTGATTCTGTAAATTATATTATAATAATAATACAAATCAAATTAACACGAAGTTATTTAATTGATAATAGTTAAAATTTATTAAATAAAAAATAGTTGTTTATATAATTGTTATGGGTTTAAAGAAAATTAATCAGAATTACTAGCTTAACATAATAAAAACGTTCACATTTCATTGATATTTACAATCAAATTTAAAACTAAAAAATGAATGTCTATTTAAATTATTTTTAATTTCAACAATGTAATAATAATGATTTATCTAAATAATTATTAAATTTGATTATTTATTATTTATTGTTTGAAATTTTTTTATTATGTTTTATTTAAAATAATACATTTAATGTCATTATTGTAACATTTAAAATTCAAACAAACAAACTTCTTTGTTTTTTTATTGTGTAACCAAGTTGTTTCTACATTTATTGTTTAAAATAACATAGTTTTTGTTAAAATGCTACCATTTAAATATTAAACAATTTTAATTATAATGTTACCTTTTTTACCAAAATAATCAATTAAATATTATTTTTAATACAGTAAAACCTCCCAAGAGCGGTACCTCTGATAAGCGGGTTCTTTCAAGAAAGGGCATTTTAAGATTGAAACTAAAAATATAGTTCTTTATCGAGAGGTTTTTAAGGTTTGATTGGCTAAAAATGCCTGCTCTTGAGAGAACAAGTATACCACACTTTCCCATTCTTGAGAAGTTTTACTTTATATAGAAGTCAGAATGTTAAAAAATAGAATTTATTTGAATGTTTGTTTAAATTAATATAAGATGATATTTTATACAATTCACTATAAACTGTTATGCTAAAAGACGTAATACAAATTTGAGAATGTATCATTAAAGGTGTTTAGACATGCACAACAAACCAATGTTTAAAATGGTCAATTTTTAAAATTGTTTGATTGAATTTTTATAATAATTAATTACTATTTTTGATATTTTAAATAATATAAATAATAAAAAGCAAAATACAAACATAAATAATTATAAATTTTATTTTTTGAAATTATAAAAAGAATGATTTGACATCATAATTTATAATAATAATAATGCTATTAAAGGTTTCTTGAATTTATTTTTATATTAGCTTTTCCAAAACCAGTTTAATATTTGTGAAAATATAAGTCTTTTATCAAATGATAATATTGTCATTTTATTTTAATAATTTTTTGAATTTTTAAAATTATTCAAAAAATAAAAGTAAAAATTAAACAAAACTTATAGCGATTCATTCATTTTTATATATTCAAAAACGATAATGCAACTTTTTATATAAAAATATATATTAACATTAATATGTATTATTTGTTTTTGTACTATTTTTTGTCAACAAAATTATCAATTATGTAACAAACTTTGGATTATTATTTAAACC